ATATATATATATATATATATATATATAAACAGTTTTGTTTTTCGTTATAGATAAAAGAGTGCTCAATACTACAAATTATTTAGCAGAGCGAATTAATTTGTTATCTTAAAATGTTTCAATTTATATATATATATATATATATATATATATATATATATATATATATATATATATATATATATATATATATATATATATATATATATATATAGTTTGCTGACGTGCACCGTCATTCGCACGCGCGTTCAAAATTTCCCGCCCAAAATTTCTCGCGATGTCGGCATTTTGCGAATATCTCGGGTCTTTTGTTCAGTGTTAAATGCTTGTTTGCATCCATTATGCAGAGTTTTTCTTCTATGCAGAGATTGCAACGCTTTGCACCAGATGAGTATGCGCCTGCCCGCTTCAGAATAGAATATTTGAATTCAGAATATTTGAATATTTGAATATTTGAATTATTCAGAATATTTGTTTACGTCAGCAAACTATAGATCACGCCATTATAACGAACTGAATTTAATCGCCTGAAGATTGCCACAAATAGTGGCATGAAACTTAAAGTAGCGAGAAATTGAAACATTTTAAGATAACAAATTATATATATATATACATATATATATATATATATATATATATATATATATATATATATATATATATATATATATATATATATATATATATATATATATATATATATATATATATATATACATATACATATACATATACATGTTATAATATAGATGTGTTATTTGCCTGCTTTAAAAATGATGTGGGGAGTTCTATAACATCTTCAATCTGTCCGGCATAAGATCAAAATAAGATCAAAGACAAAGTATACCTGTACAATTACAGTGCACGAGCAGAATGTCAAGAAGGAAAAAAATTATATCTATAAAGACTATATATATGTTCATATATATTTAAAATTAACAATGGGGAATATATCACTGACCTTTCATTCCGAGATGAAGCATGTTTGACAAAGATTTTGAAGAAGCAGAACCTCCTTTAGTAAGGGTGCCTACATTTCCCATAATTAAAATGGCCGCGATGAAGTAATATAGAATTGATGTTTTTAAAATACATCGCTTCCATGCAGAGATATGTAGCATTTTCTGCGCTAGCTCGGATACCTAAAAATAGAAATTTATAATAACGTCGAATTAAATACTCATAAAAAGTCCAATATAATTGATTGATTGTCCTTTTTTATCTAACAATTGATCTGAATTGTATCGAAATGGCAATCATTATTTTGGCCGCTGGTTAGGTTGTTAGGCAACACGGCAAGATCAGGCATTGCCAAGTTATTGTCCCATGCATTTATCATTGTTATAAAGTCTGAAATACCTTGCAAACTTAATTAAGGAACTTGGATCCCTCTCTGTAATGCCTTCTCTATAGATCTACAATCTCAGCTAAGGCTGATACGATTCTATATAGCGCGTTATTTGTAGGCGAACTATACAGAGTGTATCTGTAATCTGCAGCATTGGAGTGCTTTTGCATGTGCGCTCAATATTGAGTGCACAAATTTAATTTTTAATTTTTTAAATGGACACTTTATGATTTCAAGCTTATTTTTATTTCACCTTAATCGTATATGATTTGAAGCAAATATGACCAAATACGAGCCGATTGAAATCGTATTTTCCACCCATGTGCATTATTATTTATTAAAGCAGTGCAGAACAAAAGAAAAAACAATTTCCAATGTGTCATGCCAAACAATAAGCTTAAAACAGAAGTAACCAGATCCCAAGTGACCTTGACGATATACTGAAAATCTGATACGTGGCATGCAATGCACGACTTGTATACTGTCTATAGCCTTGTCATGCTGCCAAGAATCTAATCAAGAGCGTTTGAACCGGAAACAACAAGCATATTTTAAGGCATTTGATGGGTATTGTGGATGGAAATTGTCGAGTGTAAATTTGTATACATTTATTTGATCTAACCAAGAACAGAAGCGAAAAATGCAACTTTAGGTCCCTGGCAAGAATTGAACCTGCGGTTAAGGCGTATTATTATACATTCTATAGTCGCTGCATGCGTTTTGATTGGTTAATAGCTTACAGCGAAATATGGCAACCACCGCAAACTACACATAACTCAGTTATCTGCTGCCTGGCAGATAACTGAGTGGCAGATAACAGAGTTATGTGTAGGTTGAGGCAGATCGAGGTATGTAATTTTATAGCAAGTGGCAGTTTAAATACACGAATAAAAACAATTAGAGAAACAACATGAATGAATGAATGGCGTTTTTTGTGCAAACCTTTTCGATATTTTATCAGAACTTTAGTAGGTAAATGAGATTTTTTACATTTCTATGTTTACTATTATTGTGATATTTAAAATCATTGTTTGTCGAAAGAGTTATCCAATAACTGTTTAAAATTGACACTCGGACACTATAAGCCCTATAACTGTGTGACAATAACAAGTTGTCAAACTGTATAAATATAGGGACCGCCTGAATAAATACGGATGCCAAGGGCACTTCGGGGGCACTATCATCCATGCCCCCCCCCCAAAAAAAAAAATATTGAAAATCAGGTGTCCCAGATTGGCTAAAAATGCATTTGCCCTACAATATTTGTTACATCATTCTATAGTGTATATTTATAACACTATTGCACTATTAAGATGGATGCACTTATATAACTGCATTTCTGAGCTTATACCTACAGTACATTCGGTAGCATTCTATTGGTTAGAATCTTTCCTCCGAATTTCTCCTTTTATTGAAATTTTACAATTCTTTTTTCTTTCTTGGAGAAATATTTTCTGGGAGTGGACCAATGGTCCTGTGGCCCGATACTTTTTCCACCCTCTGGCGGTTTCTATTTAGAGTTTCATATATATATATATATAATGGATAAAGATATTTAACTCAGAAAAATTTGCTGGTTCTGTTGTGAGAATAATTCTATGGCGCGGAAACTTCTGTGACTATTTGTTTCTATGAGTTGTAGAGACACAGCTCTCAACCATGCAATCATTTTATAATTACAGTATATTTCACGTGGTTGTTGAGTGCACTTAATACATCACGTGGTTGTTGAGTACACGTAATACTATAAATGAAACTGTCTGGTTATTTATAACTATGGGCGATATGCCACAACAAAATTTTAAAATTCAAAGCTTATTCAAGCAGACCCATGCAACCTTGTCCAACACCATCCTCTATACTGTATGCTTCTGTTGCTATTTTTTGAAAATTATCAAAACAATAAGCAGTATATTGAATATTATCGCATGATGTTGGGCCAACATTGTTGGGTCTGTTTATACACATAGTGTGGGGCTTCAATGTAAAGATTTGTTGAAAGCATTATATGCAGTTTCTAAATCAAATAACATTTGTCGTGCTTGGTCCTCCGACAGCTCATCGCTGGCTTTCATTTGGCCCATTGTATCCAGCCTAGACAAAGAACAAAAATATTTTCTTGTTATTCTTCAATATTTTCATGGTACAGAACTATAGCTATAGATTTATTCATTAGAAACCTACATGATTATATACCTGACCTATTGGACCGTTTCAAAGCACTGGAGTCTAAAACTGCAGGACTTTCTGGTAAAATTGTTAGGTGCATAAATAATAACCAGGGGACCCTGGAGCAGGAATATTAAGTTAATCTAAATATGAGTACTGTATTGCTAACCAGGTAGTTTAACCAGGAATTGTAATTTAGAGTGTAGTGGCCAACTAAGTTCCGAGAAGGGCCTTCGCTGGAAAGGTCGAAGTTCTTCTTGTATTTTCAGGTAGTTCATGTATTTCTTATAAAGATCGCTAATTATTATATGCGCCTATCAATTTTTTGAATGTGCCACAGAAACATTTTTACCGTTAAAGATATGATACTGCTTATCAACAATTACCTACCATGTTTTTACTTTAACTTTTCCTTCAAAATCCTCGGCGAGCTTACTTAAACTGTTCATTGTGTCCAGTAAATCTCTCAAATCTGGGTGGATCTAATAAAATATAACTCATCAATTTAGGAATCACGAGGATCACAATAGACCTTTCCCCTTTTGAGTGAAATTTTGATCTAGACAAGTCTGGACAAAAATTTCACCACAGCTTGAAAGAGCATCACAACATTAGTAATATTCCGAAGTTTCGTTGCGAAATGTTGTAAAATGCGGATAATATAGCCTTGCGAAGTTGGACGTTTTTCAGTCATTTTGTATTACAAATGGGAAATTGATAATTGATCAGTTTGATCATCTGATTATCAATTTCCCGTTTGTAATGCAAAATGACTGAAAAACGGCAAACTTCGCAAGGCTATATTATCCGCATTTTACAACATTTTGCAACGAAACTTCGGAATATTACTAATTTTGTGATGTTCTTTCAAGCTGTTATGAAATTTTTGTCCAGGCATATCTAGATCAAAATTTCACTCATAAGGGGAAAGGTCTATTGAATACACTCTTTCAATAATTACGACATTTCGCCTAGGAGCCTCGCTATCATGAATCGTGAGCCAATCACCTTGCGCAATTTACTAATGAGAACAAGGCTCCAGGACCAAAAAGTATGTGTGACGTAATTATCGAAAGGGTGTATTATTTTCTCATTTCAACGTACATGTTGGAAAACACCCCCCAAATTAATATCATCTATGATCGGTTGCGTGAAAGTATTTTTTGAATATATACTAAACCAAAATTTACACATTAGATTTCCCATAACAACCAATTTATTGTAAATACAATCTATTAAAAAAACGAAGCATATTCAAATTATATACTGCACAAAGTAATAATTATATAACAGTACCTCGTCTGTTGCTCTAATTTGCAGACGTAGTTTATCCATGACAGTTATAAAGAGCTGAGAAAAATAGAAATAAAAAGTGAATGTGAAAAATGAAATCTACCAGAATTTCAACGGGATTTTGACAAACGAATAATTTTGTAATTTTGGTGATGTACTGCATACATATCTCTACATTATAGTTAATTTTATTACAGTAGAAGTTAGATATTAATAATACGAATATTTATTGATTGAAGTCTCATGGTTTAAAAAGCTTTTGTTTTTTACCTGGCCGTGTAGTTTTTCGAATATATCAATTGCCCAAAGTACTGTAGTGAACGACTCTTAATAGAGAGCTTTAGATTTGACTACGAGTACGGCTAGGAGATTTCGTCTATTTGGACACGCCATATGTATATTCTTACAATCTTACGCCATCTTCTTATACCATCATGTACTGACGCCCTATACAATTTGTAGCCGTGGCCAAATAATTTAATCACCAAGTTAACTCCCAAGAAAAAGGCCTACGATTCATTGAAGCCGACGCGCAGAAAAACTAACTTTCAAAACTCTGAGCCTCTGGCTCCGTGGAGAGTTTCGAAAAGTGAGAAAAATTCTAGCAAAAGATTGTTTTTGAGCAAAAATTTGCAAGAAAAATACTGAAATGAATGGCATTCAAATCTGGTTTTCCGATTACTGTAGTTCTGAATATTTCAGAAGTTGAACGATTATTGCTTATTGAAGTATTAATTGGATGAAAAGTTCAATTGTCCTGTAGTATGGTCTTCGATGAAAAAGAAAAGCGTAATAGGAAATTAACACGCTAAAATTTATAAAAAATGCATTTTTCAACAAAATTGGACTGGCACTACCTGCAAAGCATGTCTTCAGTCCCCCCCCCCCCGACATCTCTTTCCAGTGTATATACTCTATATATAGTTCAATGGGCCAAACTGGCAACGGGATTTTTTAAAAGTAGTCGTACTGGTACTCATGGTGAAATCTACAGCTCTCCATTCAAATTATAAACTTTCTTACCATAACAATGTCAGCGATACACTTGCTTGTATTTCCTTTGTCATCTTTTATTGTTATAGGTCGGTCTTCTTTGATACGTTCCAAAGCTGCTGGACAATCCAACTAAATATGAAAGTTTACTTAACAGACTGCAGGAAACATAATATCAACAATGTTTAAGTTGAGATTGAAGTATCTAATAAGACAGGAAGGTGTGAGCAAGTTCCGTCTTCAATTTTGTATTTTATATTTGTCTCACAATCGTGTCTTTTTTTACCTTTGCGTCGTGTACGTACTATATATTGCTTGCTAAGACCAAAATTATTGGCAATATATTGCGAAGTAGAAATGCATGCATGGGTTCAATTTTGACAACACGTCAAAAGGGAAAATTGGCATTGTATAAACAACGACTACTAGATGTCTAAATGTATTTCACAAACAATTATAATACCTTATATTTCTTCATAAACCTTTCCACAGTTGGAAATTCATCATTTTGAACTTGTTTAAAAGCTGCTTTGTATTGAACCAGTAACTTTGAACATGCTGCAGTGTATCTATAAAAAATTTCATGATTAATATAACTACACTGTTCTTCAAACTTTGAAAACCCATTGTACATGTGTTCTTGTTTTTGTGAGATGACAGATGTGTCTTGCAACTTAGTAACAACGACTGAATCTATGGGGTGGGGTCACGTCCCCCCCCCCCCCTCAAGAATTTCTTAAAAAAACAAGTGAGAATGATAACTTTATAAAATCCTTGAGAGGGTATATTATTTAATAGAACATTTGCAAACATTAGGCAAAAAAAAAACTCTGAGACTAATGCAGTTACAAAATTGGAGGTGTAAAGTTGGCAACCTAAATTCTCACCTTCCCCCCCCCCCACACACACACACACACACACACACACACACACACACACACACACACACACACACACACACACACACACACTAAGTAGGCTCCTAGGTCAAACATTGAAATGTAAGTCAGTTTGTGTTCACTTGGCAGTCAATGCTACTGCATTTAATTAGCCACTCTGTTTCTCCTGAAAACATACTGTATATAATATGCACTTTCAAAAAATCAAAATGTAATTAACTTTTCATCATCATTAAAAGTAATATACTGTAATGCTATAACTTTGTAAAATGTCCAACATAGTGTTTCTGATAAATATTGCAAGCTAGCACATTTCTGTTCCGAAATACGGTATCACTTACTCGAACCGACCTGACCGCATAGCTCAGTTGGCAGAGATTGGGCTAGTATTCCAAACAGGGTCTTAGCCAGAGGGCCGTGTTGGCCGTGTTATCGCGGCCAAAAAGGGAAAAACACGGCTAGATAAAATGAATGCGGTTTCATTATTTATATAAGGCTGTGTAGGTTCATAAAATAACAGACAGAATTTCTTCCTATTCACTGTACGTTGTAAGAAAGTTTGTAAAATCTACGGTTATTGTTGAAATTGGCGAAAGTGATCTGCATGTGATGTTTTAATATTTTGGTGGATAATGGGAACTGTATGGTGTTACAATGGTTTTAAATACCCCCAAGAGTTGCTGAAAAAACTTAATATTTTAATGTCAGTGCGTAATATGAGCGTATGCTTGCCTTGTATTTGGTTGCAAAGCATAGAACAACCACAGGTATGGTCTGTTGTTGGCGACAATAACTAGAACCGCGAATTTGGCTATTTGAGGTAATTGACATGTGCACACCCTGGTCATTTAGAAACACGCCCAAGTTCTAAAATCCTAGCTAAGACCCTGATTCCAAAGGTCGTAGGTTCGATTCCCACTGTGGCCGGGCATATTTTTCAAGCTCGCCCGGTGTGGATATACACTCAGAGCAACATCACAAACATCATATTCACCTGAGTACACAACACCAATGAACACAGAAAAAATCATATTACTAGATTACATTATTTGGTATTGAAGAAACGAGATTCTGTTCCAAAATATCACTTACTCGAACCGAGTAACCGACCTGACCTGACGACCACGTAGCTCAGGTCATAGGTTTGATTCCCACCGTGGCCGGGCATATTTTTCAAGCTCGCCCGGTGTGGATATATACACTCAGAGTAACATCATAATCTTTCTAAACATCGATATATTTTACGTACACTACACTTGATTATAATTTTATTAATTTGTAAATATACACACTCTTTTGGTGTAACAGCATCCTTGATATAGGCTTTTTCTAGGGCCTGTAAAGTATTGATCACTGCAAAAAGGTCAGCCAAATTGTCATATCTGAAAATAAGGAAACAAATCATTTTCATTTTAATTTGACGTTAGAGTAAAACTAAGGATGCTATAACAATAAAAGGGTATTAAGTGGGGAGGGTTAATTAAATTCAACAGTGAGGGCAATTTTGTTGTGTAGATATACAGATCTTCTCGCACTTATTGACCAGTAGCAAAATTTTCTTTATAATTGAAAGAAATTGAAGAGCAGCCGCATCACGGTTTATTGTAGGATGTCCTCCAGATGTCATATAGAGCTCATTGTAAAGTGAACTGCAAGCTAGTGGTCTATATTTATAACAAGTACTACATGTACATTGGGTGGATGCAGCCACATCAAATATGCTTTGAACATGACATATGTATAAATACATGTGAAAACAAAGTTCTAGAAAGCAAATGCAGGCTTCAGATTATAAGAGTGTTACAATAATGATTTCTAGCAGATCAAGGCCAGTATATATAGGGCATAAAGGTCAGTTAGAAACTTTCATTCAGTTGTTATTTGAAGAACATATATGATATGCAGTGTAATATGTTTGAAGTCAAAAAGTTGTCGTTGGTACAGCTAGCCTGTGTTCCAGCCGTTGTGTTTTTTATTCTTTATTATATATCAATATAAACATATTAAGCATATTTATACATTTAAAGCAAATAGCACGCAATAACATAGTTTTGTGTCTTTTGCCTGTTTTGTGTCTTTTTCCCATTAATTTGCATTACTATACTGAGGTATAGCAACCCCTTACACAGTTTAGCAGTTCTTATGATTATGTAATTACATCATTCTCGTACCCAGAGCCCTTCTTACGCACGGTACGACGAGGAGCTCTGGCCAAATCCATAACCGGATACCATAAAAACATGGTAAGAAAACAATGTCTGGTGTTAGAACTAGCCAATCAGATGCCAGTTCGGAATATGGATTTGGCCAGAGCCCCTCGTCGCACCGCGCTTACGAAGGGCTCTGGGTACGAGAATGGTAATTACATCGGTGGACATACAGATTGGTCATATCTATAATAATGAATATCCATATTATATAACAGACATTCCAACTGCTGGAGGTAAAATTTAGGGAGACTGTTCAGTGAATTGAAATCTAGTTCTTCTGGGAAAAAATAATAAAAATTAAGTCTTCTGAAATGGTGTTTCCTGCATTTTGGGACTATGTTGTTATAAATGATCCTATAAATTGCCATAAAGTAACTTCAAAAAAGGTCCGAGACAGACTATTATGTTGCTAAAAACAGTATATTTATAATTTTTTATGATATTTCCTGAATATTCTGAAAAATCGGGAGAATTTGATAAAAATCGGGAGACGGGAGATTGCATGAATTTTCGGGAGACTCCCGGTAAAATCGGGAGAGTTGGAATGTCTGATATAATTTAATTATCAATTTTACTATAAGTACTACCCAGAATCCTTATAGATATACACTATACAATTACACGCTTCCGGAAAGTGTGTCACCTTCCAGGTGATCTTGCAAAGGGCACTTTCCATTAACACGGCCAGACCGGTCAAAACGGTCAAATTGTTGAACGGAACACAAAACATTTGGACTTCGGACCTATTCAACTGGGAAATTTAGATAACATTAGAATGAGGCCCATTTTCACCACATATTTGAGAAACATAGACCAGATCTTTCCATTGATACAGAGAAAAGAATTCGGGTCTGACCGGTAAGGCCATTAAATGGAAAGCACCCAAAGTGATGTACTTTCCGGAAGGGTGTTTTTTGTGGTACGAACATCACCCAAATGATTCTGATTAATTCATGTGACAAACATTTAGGCGAGGCATACATATATGCCTGTAATGTGACAGTTGATAATGCTGTTGTACATACAATAATACAGAATTGAGATAACATATATCATAAAATCTTACTTTTCTCTCTCTCGTCCGCTTTTATAAAGCTTCACTTCCTGTAAATACAGAAACAACGTTATTTTCTAAAGCCTTTGAGTACATTTTTAACCACACTTAATTTAATAAATTTTGTCAATATATCATTTTAATATATGTTTGTCCATATTCCTACCTCATACAATTCAGGTCTGTTAGCTGTAGAAATATAGTGATAATATGAGTTAGACACAGATAATATATACAAAGAATAAAGGATACATAACGAAATTTACCTCTCCTTGGTTCTACATTCAATGATCGGTTGTCAGGAACTCCTTGGAACATCATTTTCACATTATTTTTTCTATTCAAACTTTTTAATGTTTACACTTTGATACAATTTGTCTTTTGAGATTACGTAATCACATCTGGACAAAATTGCTGAATCAGGGATTCACATCAGATTTATCCATCAATCACCTTAAAAATATCCATAGAAGACCATAAGTAACCTGAAAGATCCTTAGTGCCCCTCAACAAAAGTGCTTCCACATAAAACGTTCAATTTCCATGTACACGCCAAAAATATTCTAAATATGTAACAAAAATAACAATTTTTTCTGTGTTATGTACTCAGGTGAATATTATGATGCTTGTGATGTTACTCTGAGTGTATATCCACACCGCAGGCAAGCTTGAAAAATATGAACCGACCTGACCGCGTAGTCGGGCAGAGCATTGGGCTAGTATTCCGAAAGTCGCAGGCACTATGTCGCAGGTTCGATTCCCACCGTGGCCAGGCATATTTATCAAGCTTGCCCGCGGTGTGGATATACGCTAGTAACAGCACAGGCATCATATTCACCTGAGTACATTACACCAACACAGAAAAAAATCATGATTACTAGATTACATTGATATCCAAACTAATTCCAAACGTTTCTGGTCACTATTTAAACTAAAAGGTGCAACACGTTCTGTCCCGGAAAAAATTTCAATAAAAACGAGTCACGACAATGTTCGTGAATATGCCGAGAATCCTAGGGACATCGCAACACTTTTCAACCTCTACTTTGTATCAATCTTCTCGAGTGATCCTATCAATATTGTTAATCATCAATCTATATCCGAAACCACTAACACTATTTTTAATGACATTATATTGTCAGAAGGAACAGTGCGCTCAGGTTTAAGAAATCTCGATAACAACAAAGCGCATGGTCCAGATGAAATCCCAGCAAGATTACTTACCAAAACTGCATATCAAATTGCTCCATCTCCATGCCTTCTGTTTAACAAGTCCTTAAAAAGTGGAATAGTACCTCGAGAATGGAAACTTGCCAATGCTGTACCCATGCATCCACAAAAAGGGGGATAAAGATCATGTAGAAAACTATAGGCCAATTTCTCTTCTCTCACTTGTCTCCAAAGTCTTGGAGCGTAGCGTATTCATTAGTATCAAAGAACATGCTTTCAGTCAAATAAATTCTTGCCAACATGGCTTCATTTCCGGAAAATCATGCGTGACACAACTAATTGAAGTTTTAGATACCATCGGCAGCCAATTAGATCTCGGAAAGCAGACTGATGTGATCAGTAGTATGTAAAATGCCGATATCTTACCACTTTTTTCATGGGATATTAACCATTTTTGTGATTCTAGACGCTCTACAACCCCAAATTTGATGTACCAATTTTGGGTCTCAGACGACCGTTTCAACCCCATTTTTATGCTGTATTTATCATCGGCAACTCACAAATTACTGCTCACAGACCCTCTACAACCACTTTTTTTACTCTATCGATTTTCGCTTCCTAGACCCTCTACAACCACAAAAATAGTGCTCAGAATGCGATTCTAAATTTTCGAGGTGGAAGGATATCGGTTCAACATTTTTAATGATTTTCTGAAAACGGTGATTTTACATGCGCTAGAGCCATTTCAAGCGCATTTTTGCTTATTTCTCAAAATTTTTTAGACCTCGCCCGACTCCCGAGATTTCACCAATTTGCCTCTTCTAGAGTCCTTTTAACACACATTTTTTATAAAAAACATCACTTTTATTCTCGTTTTCTTCTCTGAATGAGAAATTGAGGTCACTTTTTACCGCTTCAACAGCCTCTCCGGCATTCTAACTCCTTCCATCTCATCTACAACCTTTCTAACCTTCATAAGACAATCTAACAGCGTATGGTAGTCTTCCCCACTATGATCTTTTTCCAACAACTTCTTAAACTCGAATTTCTTCCAACCATCCATTTCTATTATACCATAGGTTTAACTATCTTCCTCTCCCACATATTACAAATCCGTCATTCAGCCCATTGTTTTCCCTATACCAGAACTCCGTCCAACGATCATCCCAATCTATCCATTCAGGTCCAATACAAATATCCCCCGAATCCCTCGCTCTTCGCTCAAGATCTATGTACCACTCGTGAAAGTACTTACACTTACTCACATCGAGACCAATAGTAGGAACAATTATTCCGTAGAATAGGAATTCATGCTTAGCCTTAATATTAGATGGATAAAGATCCCGTAATCGTTCGTTAGGCTCAATTCCAAGCGCACTACAAACTCTTACAAGATGGAATCTTATACTAGGGCAATACTTAAGATTTTCACTGTTTAGTAGCTTTCTGATTTTCACAATTACACTAACAACTATATCTATCCCAGACTTTTCCACATACTTACTTACACATCTTTTTACCTGTGAAGGATAAACAGATTTTGTCTTCCCAGAGGACACCTCATACTTCCCTGCCTCAATATTATAAGTCCTTCCTGCAATACTGATACTATTCTTAAGGAACACATACTTATTATCACAACAGTAACTCTTGGAATACATTTCTTTATCTATACTATACATGATGTTTTAACTTATTTCTACAGGTGAAACCAGGTTGTCTTCCATAAGAGGAAATGAGAATTTCTCTCTCCATACTTATTATACCAGCGGTATTTTTCAATCCTAGCAGGAGAAGCACGAATTGTTATTAACACCACCGAAGTTTACAAGCAGACCGCACAAGTCCCGCAATCAAACCGCAAGATTCAGAGAAAATTCTCAGCAGGTTGCAACTAATACCGCAAGATTCAAGGAAATCCCCAACTTAACATAGTCAACTCACAACCTCAAGGAATTACCACCAACCTGAACGATTCATTCACCAACTTTATACAGGGTGTATCAAAAAAAACTGAACAGATTTGAAATTGCTCTCAATTTCGCAAAACACCTATTTGTATCTGGTTTTTTATATATATATAGCTTCTTTGGGTACTTATAATGTAAAATAATGAAAAAAATTTCTCGAACTCAAATTTTGTGAACCAGGGGGGGGTGTCTTTTCCAACAAACTAAAAATGGCTCGCGCACAAAATTTAAAAGCTGTAATAATATTTTGAGTTGATAGATTGAAAACTTGTCGGGTTTTTAATTACTGTACAAAATTTCAGACAATTTGGTTTAGTTTAAGCCCTTTAACTATTCATTTTGTTCTAAAAAGTCAGCCTTTCGCATGCTTAATTAAGCCTTTACCTAATTTGCATATTGCTGACATATGCAAATTAGGCAAATGCATTAATTAAGCATGCAAATAGCTGATTTTTCGGGAAAATTGTAACTTTGCGTGAATAGTTAAGGGGCTTAAACTAAACCAAATTGTCTGAAATTTTGTACAGTAATTAAAATCCCGACACATTTTCCATCTGTTAACTCAAAATATGATTGCAGCTTTTAAATTTTGTGCGCGAGCCATTTTTAGTTTGTTGGAAAAGACACACCCCCCTGGTTCACAAAATTTGAGTTCGAGAAATTTTTTTCATTATTTTACATTATAAGTACCCAAAGAAGCTATATATATAAAAAACCAGATACAAATAGCTGTTTTGCGAAATTGAGAGCAATTTTAAATCTGTTCAGTTTTTTTTGATACACCCTGTAGATAACTCATAAATGATTATAGATGACCTTACAAGTAGATTTTAGATAACTCACAGATAACTCATAGATGCTCATAGATAACCTTGTAAGTAGATTTAAGACATCTTACAAGTAGATTCAAGTTATCTTAGTAGATATCTTGCAAGTAGATTTAAGACATCTTACAAGTAGATTCAAGTTATCTTACAAGTAAATCATAGATATCTTACCAACAGATTCAAGTTATCTTACAAGTAAATTTCAAGTAGATTTAAGTTATCTTACAAGTAAACTTCAAGTAAACCTCAAGTAAACTTCAAGTAAACCTAACAAAATGACCATCATCACGCTCTCTCATAACATCTCCCTCATAAACTCCATCATCATTCTCAACAAACTCTTGCAAGTAAGGGGCCGACCATCTCTTTCGCAAACTCCCTGCAAACATTTTCCTATCCTCACTAGTCTTATTCATATACATCCAAATAAGACCTAGACAAACTATCGCAAATATCAGATTTGTCTCCTCCATATAGTAATCCCAATGTTTCACAAAAAGAGGTGCCCTCGAGGGACCCACTTTAGGAAAAACATGTGAGTCCCAACCTGGGACTCACATCCAGATTTCAAAAATCAAATTCTCACAAGGGGGGCGATTCGCCTCCCTTACAGAATTACTAGAATGAGGGTCTAAGACACCTTACAATAATTTCAAAGTTTCACAGGTAAGTTCCATCCATGATTTCCAAAATGAGGGTTCCCTCAAGGAACCCTCCTCAAAATCAAAACGGAGGGCTAACAAATGGTTACACAATCAATATAGCAATTCGCTCAGATCACCTTAATCTCACACATTCTATAGTTCTCACACACCACCTACGTACAACAAAAACGCGAGTATTACAACATTAATTAATTACACCCAACTTATTAAATTTTTCCAGCAGATGGTTACACAGTCAATACGGCAATTCGCTCAGTTCACCTCAATATCACATGTTTTAGTTCTTACACACCACCTACATACAACAAAAACATAAGTATTACAACATTACACCCAGCTCATTAAATTTTTTCGGTAATAGTTTCATAGTCAATACGGTAATTCGCTTAGATCACCCTGATATCATATGTTATAGTTCTCACACACCACCTAGAAGTTTATAATCATATAAGACATACACACTTGAAATCCACCGCAAACTCATTCTCTCAGAGGTTTTTATTTTGCTGAGTCAGCATTAATTTATTTAATTTATTTAATTTAATTTATTTAATTTATTTAATTTATTTAATTTATTTAATTTATTTAATTTATTTAATTTATTTAATTTATTTAATTTATTTAATTTATTTAATTTAATTTATTTAATTTATTTTTATTTTTATTTAATTTAATTTATTTAATTTAATTTATTTTTATTTAATTTATTTTTATTTAATTTAATTTATTTTTATTTATATCTCGCGCGCGAGACTGAAACGGTCGTCTGAGACCCAAAATTGGTACATCAAATTTGGGGTTGTAGAGCGTCTAGAATCACAAAAATGGTTAATATCCCATGAAAAAAGTGGTAAGATATCGGCATTTTACATACTACTGTGATCTACCTAGATATGTCAAAAGCATTTGATAAGGTTAGTCACGTACGTCTTCTACATCGTCTCAGAGAATTTGGATTCGGAGGAAATCTCTTACGACAACAAACTACTGTTCTCGGTGAAACATCAACAGCACTACCAGTGACATCCGGAGTACCACAAGGTTCCATTCTTGGCCCGCTATTTTCCCTCTTATATACCAATGATCTATCTTCTTCCATCGTGAATTCGAACGTAGCAGCTTTCGCTGATGACACTAAGATCAGTTAAAGTGATTAACTCCAGGACCGATATAATGTTATTACAAAATGATCTTCTCAACTTTAATTCCTCCTCGTCCAATGCTGGTCTGCATCTAAACACATCAAAATGTAAAACCCTCCAGGTCACCAGGAAATACAACAAAATAGATTTCCCTTATCAACTACAAGATATCACACTAGAAAAGACTGACTGCGAACTCGATTTAGGTGGATGGATGAATTATGATCTCACTTGGTCAAAGCAAGTTACACAACAAAGTAACAAAGCTAATAAAATGCTGGGTTATATTCGAAGATCAACTTTCAATATTCGCGAGTTTGCAATTCGACCGGACGAACACTGTACCCTTCTCTGGTTACCTTCATTTGTGATACAGAATATAGAGACCGACTCCTTGCAACCAGTTTAGTTTTCTCCCTCTCAGCTACTGGCACGAATACCTGGACGTAGTATTCTTCTATATATAAGGCAAATCACGACATTTTTAATATTGATAAAACAATTCTTCCATTTCCTCAACCTCAGGGTCAAAGACAGACAAGATCATTTAACCCCAACTCGCACAAATATAAAATTCCGACATACAAGACGTCAACCTATAAAAAATCTTACAAAATCCGAACATCAAGAATATGGAACACACTTAGCTTCCTAATCACATTACATCCAAAGACCGAACATTTTCAGAATTCAAGAATCTTCTTTTTAAAGTCCCGTTTACACGAGCCGGCAAATTTTATTTGACAAATTTCATATGTCAAAGATATTTTGCTCGTGTAGATGATAGTTTGTGACAAATTTATTAATGAAATTTGTCAAATAAAATTTGCTCGTGTAAACCGGGCTTATATATATAAGTACTATACTTTAGCATTAGAAAATACATACGATGTTGAGGATCCCCGCACATGGAAAAATGTGTGTATAAAATGTAATTCCGCTAGAAGTTTAATAAACTCTCCATTGACATGCTGCTTTTAGACATAATGTAATGACTGCAGTTGTTCAAGTATTGTTTATTGTGTGTGTTTAGTATACCTTGTAAATTGTTTCCGTTTAACTAATGGGGCCGCTGTAATTGGTAATAGCTGTTGTGGTTTCCCAGCCAATGAATGTATAAGTATGATGGCAAAGTAAATAAATAAATAAATATCGAAGGAACTAGACTCAGTTCCGAAATATCACATACTCGATACCGCGTAGCCGTCAGTTGGCAGAGCATTGGGCTAGTATTCCAAAGGTCGTAGGTTCGATTCCCACCGTGGCCAGGCATATCTTTCAAGCTTGCCCGTGGTGTGGATATACACTCAGAGTAACATCAAAAGTATAAAAAATAACAATCTTGGCGATTTTTCCTGCGCAAGGGAGATAAATGTCTTTCTTTTTCTTTACAGTATTATTGGAATATTGGCTGGTTCAAAACTGTTGCTGTGGTGAGATTTTATACGCAGATTAGCTGCTGTTTTAGCGCGAATATTACCCTGGTCCAGAGGTATTTTAGGTTTGTATTCAATAAAGGTGAAAACAATACTGGCTCCCAGGGTACGCCAATATGAAAATTAATCTAAAATCGCAAGAAATTTGAAGATGAAACAATAAAATTGACGGGGTTTGACATCCTATCGTTCTTCGATAGAACGATTCGTCGATTCCAATTAAACCCTTTTTTCTGCGAAAACTTTCGTGGCTAATTTTGAAATAATGAACACTTCATCAAAATTTATAGTTAGCTAGTGAACATTCACTGTGATGACAAACCCTATTAGCTCATGTGGACAAACGAAACTTCGTTTATATCAGTCTAAACGAACGTTTGGGAGAGTTAAGCCCCGTTACAACGCTTAATTTTTGGTACGGCACGGATAAAATACCAACCCGTACCACTTTCTTGATTCTTAAGAACCAAAAAAGTGGTACTGGTACCAATTTTATCCGTGCCAAACCAAAAATTTAGCGTAGTGTAAACGGGACTTTAATTTTAATGCCCACCCGGATTTTCGATTCCAACAGGACCGAACGCGCGCGTAGGTTGTATTTTGCGACTTTTCCTGCCAAAACAACAAGTTGTTTGAAAATAACAAGTGCGTTATATAATTTTAATACTTCATGTTGTAGATGAATGTCTTTCGCAGAAGAATATTCCAAAGTAAGCATGTGATGCACGAGAAGTGTTTATTTTCTCAGTTGCGTTATTGACATTCGCTTTAGGTTGCAAAGCGGATCTGCGAGTTGCGATTTTGTCCTGAAACGAAATTAACGTTTGCTTTATTGTACCTTTATACCGTCTATACCGTCTATCAGATATTAGGGAACTATCATGCCTCGGTCGTGTAGTTTCTGCGATTTTTCCCTAGCTTCACATTATGCGCAAAAATGAAAACATGATTTTGCAAATGCATAATAGTCTGAAGATAGATGCATTCTATGATCAGGTGGGGACTGAGTATAAATTCCGCATTTTGTACATGACACTTGACTTCCGTTTCAGATTCAAATGTGATTGCGAAGGAGGAGAAGAGGCGGCGGAAGGAGGTTTTGGACTGGAAAGCCGAAGCCCAGTAGTGGAAGAAGGAATCACAGAGTTTGAGGAGGAACGAGAAAGCACGGGAAAGACGCGCCGAGCAGAACCGTAGGATTAGGGAAGGCAACTGAAAGGGTAAGAAGAAGTTCGGTCAGCTTCAGCTGAAACTGGAGGACAAGCTGAGTAAGATTTGGGGCAAACGAAGTAAAATGAGTTTTACTCCAGTTCTTGCAGACAGCAAGCACGCACACGACAGAACGGTGAATGAGTACACGATTTCCGTGTCCATCCCGCTGACCCATCAGCAGGTCTTGTTCCTGTCGAAGGAGGAGGTTTTGAAACTGATCGAGTCCGCGAAGAAGCCGGTGAAAGTTCAGATTCGGTTGGAATGCATCATGATCATGGAAAAGACGGATCCGATCACAGAAGAGGTGACGACGGACAGTTACTATCCAAGTGGTTTCACATCCAACATCTTTCCTACAAACAACATCTCGGAAAAGTACACGGACGAAGCGTCGGAAAAGATTTCAAACGACATTTCCGAATATCAGAAAAACGGTTTGGGATGGACTTTGAAGAGGGTCGTAAGGATAATAATAATAATAATAATAATAATAATAATAATAATAATAATAATAATAATAATTTTTTTTAATTTAAACCTTTACAAATCAATTACATAGCCTGACCCATATAGTCATACATTTATGAGTCCAGACCAAATTTTCCCTGACTACACTTAATAAATAAGACAACAGTTCTCTGAATAATCAGGTCCGTTATCTACACTGTCACACATTAGTAGCTAATAGAAGTTGAGCTTTTCAGGGCAAGACCAGTTCTTATTTCTCTTACAAAATATGTAGAAAGTGGCACGAAGTGCAACCTCCATACATTTTGTTATAATACGATCGTCTTGCAAATTTAACAACCTACATAGCCTACGAAATTGGCCTATACTCTTCGTGACGAAGCCTAGAGTAGTGACTTCCAAAGTTATAACTTTAAATCTATCACACGGTACGAGTAACTGTGATCGCAATGCCCGATATTTTTCTTGTTTACGTCGTCTTGCAATCATGCAGTTCGTTTCATATGGGACAGTCAATTCAATCACATACAAATCTCTTTTATAACGAATCGTAATATCTGGCCTTAACGCTTGAAACAGATTGGACGTACATTTCAAGCCAGAGTCTAGACAATCGGCAAAAATCTC